AATCCCGAAATTGAAGACTAGGAAGTAGAATCTTACCTCTAGGATGAAGACCTAGTGAGTTTTCCTTGTGAATTCTCCAATTTTTTAGCAAGAATTGATGAACAATAAGCTTAGGAACTTCCCCTCTCACTGTATGGCACTTCCTCTCTCTAGAAATATCAGACTTTCTCTTTACAAATGGTCCCTAACGACTATATATTGAAATAGGGTCGGGTTATGAAATTAGAAAAAAATGAAGCCCCAATGCAGATCTACGGTCGCATAAAGGACTGCATAACACTTATGCAGTCCGCAAAATGAGCCGTATAATGGCCCTGCAAAACTGGGCATTTCTATGTAGGCCTGCGACAGGTGTGCGGCCCGCAGACCAATTCTGCGGTCGCATAAAGGACCGCAGAACCTCCTTCTGAAATTTTTCATGCTGGCTTCTGCGACGGATGTGCGACCCGTGAAATGGTTATGCGGTCGCATAATGGGCCGCATAATGGTTCTCAAAATTTTCTCAAGTTCTGCTTCACTCTACGGCAAATCTGTGACCCACAAAGTGGTTCTGCGGTCGCATAGTGGACCGCAAAAACACCATGGTCTACAAAATGATTCCTTCAACTCCCCAACGTACTGTTCAACCCAAAACATATATACAACCCTCGATCACATTACTCTACCCCGGCGCCATGAAACCCCGTCTTTTAGGTGAAATTTTACGAGGCCTTACACTGCACAAATTATCACATCCCTAGATTGGGGAGAGCCGTTTGAGCTTATGTGCGATGCTAGTAACACTTCAATTTGGGCCGTCTTGGGCTAAAGAAAAAATAAAATGTTCCACTAAATTTAGTACGCTAGCAAAGCACTGAATCCATCTCAGATAAATTACACAGCCACGCAGAAGGAGTTGCTACCGGTAGTGTAATGACCCGATCGGTAATTTTGTGTATTTGAGCCCTTTTTCCCTTTTGATACTTCACACATGTGTATTTATAATTTTATGACTTGCGGGGTTAGTTAGTTTCGTTCCGGGAAGGTTTTGGATTGATTTGGACCCTTTGGTTCTTAGTTTAGAAGCCTAAGTTGGGAATGTTGACCTAAGTTTGACTTTTATAAAAACGAACCCGAAATGGTATTTTGATGGCTCTGATAGGTTTGTATCGTAATTTTGGACTTGGGGCATATTCCCGTAATCGAATTCGGAGGTCCCTAGGTTGATTTGTCTTGTTTTGCCAAAAATTGACAATTTGAGGCTTAGAGTTTTCCCAAGTTTAACCGTAGGTTAACTTTTTAGCTATCGATTTCAGAATTTAGTTTTGGGACTTGAAATAGGTATGTTTTGCTATTTTGAACTTGTATACAAAATTTGCTGTCATTTGGAGATGGTTTGATAGGATTCAGACGCTTGGTTGCAATTCTAGAGGTTCTTGAGTTTTCCTTTGAATTCATGCGTTTTGATGTCCGATTCATAGTTTTAGATGTTATTTTTGTGTTTTGATCGTGCGAGCGATTTTGTATGATATTTTTAGACTTGTGTGGATGTTTGGTTTGGAGCCCCGAAGGCTCGAGTGAGCTCCGGACGTGTTTCAGAATAGTTTTGAACTGAATCAGGTTGCTGGTGTGCTGGTGTCTCTGATGTCGTAATTGCAAACACCAGCATCGCAATTGCAATCATAGAATAGGGGCCTCAGGTGTCGCATTTGCGATTCCTTGATCACATTTGCGAAAAATAGGCTAGACTAGGTAGTATCGCATTTGCGATAATTTTATCGCATTTGTGATGGGGACAGGCTTCGCAAATGCGAATCTAATATCGCATTTGTGACTTCCCCCTTAGGCTGTCAATAGCCGCAATTGCGAGACTTTCTTCGCAGTTGTGAACCTAGTGTCGCAATTGCGATATCTGCAACTAAACAAAAGGTTGGAAAGTCGGGATTTCATCTCCTTTATCTCATTTTAGAACTCTAGATTCGGTAGGAGTCGATTTGGAGAGGAGATTTTCATCTAAAATCATTGTGTAAGTAGTTTTAATCAATTTTCAACTTTATTTCATGATTATATGGGATTTAACATCAAATCTATCAGAATAAAAGAGAAATTTTAGGAATTGTTGTCCAAGTTTTGAAAAATGAAATTTTGGGTTTTAAGAATCGAATTGGATTCAGATTTGAAAACAAAACACATATATGGACTCGTGGAGTTATGGGTAGTCGGAATCTACCCTTGGACCCGAATTTTGACCGGGCGCTCCCGGGGTTGACTTTTGGTGAATTGTGTAAAAATTATAGCTTTATCTATCGAAATTGGTTTCCCTTGCATTGTTTGATGTTATTAAGTCATTTTTTGTTAGATTTGAGCCGTGAAGAGGTAAAATTTAGCGGGGAAACTATTTTTGAGGGTTGATTTGGCCTAGTTGAGGTAAGTATCTTGCCTAATATTGTGTGGGAAAACTACCCCTTAGGATTTGGGTTGATCGTATTATTTGAATTACGTGGAAGACGAGTGTGTACACGGATTTATATGTTGTATTTTGACCGATATAGACTCTTAGGCTTCTTCCATGCATCTAAGTGAAATTGTCATAACATGTTATATCTTCCATTGTTGAATTTGCTCTCACATGCTCTATTTGACGTTGTTAGCGTATGTTCTATCTTTTATTGTCAAGTTTGCTCTTATATGCTTTAGTTGTTATTACCTCTTTTATTGTTGAATTATTCTTATTTGAAGTTGCTGATTATTAAGATATCTTTCCTCGTTGAGTATCCCTCGTTCATTTTTTTATTATTGATATGTTTGTTCACATTATTGGTTGAGCCAAAGGCTGTATGTTGTGGTAACACTGGTATTGTTGATTTTTGGCAAGTGTTGTGGTATATGGGCACATGTGGTGCAAGTTGATTATTGTTGTGATATTGATACGCATGTGGTGGTATAGGGATATGGGTTGATACGCAGGCGGTAGGATAAGGATAAGGGTTGATACGCATGCGGTGAGATAAGGTAAGATTTATACACGTATTGCTAGTAAGGGAATTACTTGAAGCCACACGGTGAGATAAGTGGACTAAAGCGCGTGTAGCTATTTCGGAAAAAATATTTTCAAAATAAATGCAAGACTCACGGGGTGATATAAGGAAGATTATGATTGTGACTTGTGAAATGAGATTGTGAGGTGTGGTACTTCGGTTGTGATTTTTGTTGTACATTCCATGTTAAAAGGCTTGTTGATTTGGAACAGTCGTTATATTTGTTCTTCATTGTTTTTACTTGTATTTTTAAGGTAATAGATCACTTGTTGTCCCTATCATGTGTTGGATCATTTGTTGTTCCTATCACGTGTTCATTCCTTGTTTCCTTTATTGCCTTAAATTTCGTTGTTAGCCTATATTATTGTGCTACTTTGTTGTCAGTCATTTCCTCAATTTCCGTCATTAGACTTTATTATATTTTGTTCAGTTTTCTTGTCCTAGTGGGTGTCTTGATCTAGCCTCGTCACTACTCTATCGAGGTTACGCTTGATACTTACTGGTACCGTTGTGGTATACTCATGCTATACTTCTACACATTTCTGTGCAGATCCAGGTTCATCTGCTCGTGCCAGACGCGAGTGATTGATCATTTATTTTCGGAGACTTCAAGGTACACCTGCCCGACGTTCGCAGGCCTCGAAGTCACCTTCCGCTTTTAGTTGTATTACTATTCGTTTCCTGTTCAAAACAGTATTATATTTCGAGGTTACTAGTGCACTCTCTGTAGAGCTTATGGCTCGGTTCCACCAGGTTTTGAGAGTTATTGATAATTGTATTTATTTAGTTTTACTATGATTGATTACCAGTTTGAGTTGATATTTAAATCGTTATGTTTGTTAAATCTTAATGTATGTTAGACTTATCTAGTCTTAGAGACCAGGTGCCATCACGACATCCTAAGGTGAGAATTTGGGGTCGTAACAAGTTGGTATCGGAGCTCTAAGTTCATCATAGGTGTTACGAGTCATAAGCAAGTTTGGCAGAGTCTTGCGGATCGGTACAAAGACATTTATACTTATCTTTGAGAGGCTACAGAACTATTAGGAAAATTTAACTTCTTTGATTTCATATCGTGTGAATTTGTTGATTTCGAAATCTGAGTCTGTCTTTCTATTTTCTCATAGATGATGAAGACACGCACTGCTGGATCAGATGATCAGACACCCGCGCCCCTACTAAAGCCGCGCGAGGCTGGGGCCGGGGTAGAGGCCGAGGAGGGGCACATGCTGCAGCCAGAGCACCTATCCGAGCAGCGACTGAGGAGCCACCTGTAGGGGACTGACACCCGAGATGCCTATTGTTACCCCTTGGAAAAAATGGAAAAAAATAAAAAAAAATAGCTAGATTTACAACTGGTAATTAAAAAATAGTCACAATTTTAAAAGTAATCGAAATTTAGCCACTTTTTCATGTAAAGATAAAATCTGAACAAAAACACTCTTAAAATTTTGGAAATATTCTAACATAATATGCTAGAGTTCGACTTTTTTACATATGAGCTTCCAACATAATGTGCTGGAGTTCCAACATAATATGCGAAAAGTTTATATGCAGGAGCTCCATAATCACGCATATTATGCTGGAACTTTCCGTGTGCTGGAGTTCCAACATAATATATGCTGGAAGTTTATACGCAGGAGCTCCATGATCCCGCATATTATGCTGGAACTTTCCGTGTTTCAGCAAAACAGTGACTATTTTTCAATGACTTTGCAAACGCTGCTATTTTTTATTACCAATCCGAAAACTGGTTAGTCCGTGTTATTTTCACGTTAAAAATAGGTTGTGTAGCCTATTGGTTTTTCTTTTTCATCTTTTCCGGTATGGACCTATGTGCAAATAATCAGTTATTGCCACGAAGCCTTAGAATCCTTAGGGAAAGGCAAGCATTAGAAAATGAAAAGGTGTGGGAGAGAGGAGATGAACCGATGTCTGATGAGTCTAATGACAAATAATAAGTAATCCCTACGAGTAGCAACATAACAAAACTTCTCTACATTTTTCAAAATAGGAATCCAAAACAAGATTAACGTTTGCTGCTTATGTACTTCGACCAACCTAATAACTTCCAAACAAATAAATACAGAAAGCTAGCTACAAATCATCTTTGTAGTGAGCTTATTGTCTTCAAGCACTTTCAATACAGAAAGCTAAGGGATGATAGCAAGAGAAAACAACATAATGGACCTCGCAAAAGAAGAAACTCGTATACTAGTTTACATCACAGATCTGCAGTTAGCTTACACCCTTTCCAACTCAATGTTGTGTTTCTCTTCCAATTTTGAATCAGTCTCTCCTGCTTGGTTATAAGCTCAGTCTTTCTCTTCAACTTTTCTTCCATTTTTACAATCTCCTATTCATAATAATTTGGAATACACAATACTCCATTAGCAATGCCAAAAATGAGTGGAAAACATTAGAAGTCCTCTAGAAACTCATATCATCAAAATTGTATCTTTTCTTGTCTTTTTGGATAAGTATCATCAGCGTTACCCAAACTTACCTTTCTAAGCATATCTACTTTGGAAGGCAGATCCTCGCGTTGCAACCCAATCAAATAAAGTTGAAGCTTTTTGGCTGCTTCGATGAAATCTCTGGCATGTCTCTCAACATCAACTGCGGAGCAACAAATTTGTAACTCATTCAGAAAAGGGAAAACAATGAGCATTTCAGACACTTGAAAGAAAGAAACAAAGCAAAAATGCTAAAATCAAAAAGGAACAAATTCAAACTTTATTCCTGCGCGAGTATTAGGGAACAAGCAGGAACTGAAAGTGTCACCATTTCTAGAGGATATCAAATGCCAGGAATTTTAACAAATTCAATTCAAAAGGAAAACATAATGAAGATTCAAAAAACAGAGAATATAAGACAAAAAGAACCGGGAGGGGGGCTCGATCTAAGAACTGTGCGAATTATTGTAGTATTAAGCTTATGAGTCAAATGATGAAACTTTAGAAAAGAGTGATAGAGCGTAGATTCAAGGAACATTACATAGGTGACAAAGAGAAATCTTTGCTAATAGTTGGAATTAAGGCTTAGTTGTTATTATAACACTTTTATCAAGTCTCGTGTTTTCCAGGAATCTTTAGTTTCATTAGAGATTTGTATATCAGTGTAAGATAAGTGTGAGATCTAAAGAACCTCTAGTTTTAAAATCTTAAGTTGTCTTTTAAGATGAATTATCGAGTACAAAAATGAAATGAGCGGAGTAGAACAGAACAGACATGGATATTCATATAGCCAATCCCAACTAGTTTAAGAACATATAGTTGATCGATTGATTGATCGAACCTAAGCAGCTTCTGTAAGTTGCAATGTTCATAGACCATGTATCATAGATCCATACAGCCGACCCCAACTAGTTTTAGACATAAGCTTAGTTGACTGATTGAAAATAGGAAGCTTCTGTAAATTGCAATATTCGAAGAACCCACATCAGTCCAGCAGATTATTATGTCAGTGCTAGTGGGAAACGTGTATTCAAATGGATAATGCAGCAAGACCTCAAGTCTCAAGCAAAATGTACTCACATAGCTTTAGAACATCAAATAGCTACCTTATCAGAAAACAAAACAATGAAGACTAAAGCAGAGGTCCTAAAGTAAATTGGCAACAAAACAATCAGGATTTTGCTGTTGATCAACAGGATGTCTCTCAGCCATATGATTCAAGCACCACTAACTGCCCTCACTTCAAAGTGATGCTGGCAAACTGATCACAGCAAATAGTAAATGAAATTGAAACCTTTATCCTGACAAAAATAACAAGAAAGAGCAAGGGCTAAACAACTTCAATGGTACTCTCCCAAGATACTTGTCCTTTTTCACTTTGATTAATTCTCTGTTTAAACCTAACATAGATAAATTATCTTTCAAAAGAATTTAAACATTCCAAAATTATACAAAGGCTACATATGTTACATGTTTGTAAAATTTGAAAATGTAACATAATTCGTTTCAAAATGTTAAATCTTTCTTTTTCTGTCTCTTGGAAAGCATAAGGGCTGCAAATTTTGACAGAGGGCATAATTACAAAGATTTATACTTCTTCTTTTTTTCAATTTAGTAAAAGGATTTATACAGATATGAAACTGAACGCACCAGTCCTTTTCCTTTTTATCATTATTTCTAGATTTAATAGTATACTTATTCTGACTCACAAATAAGGACGAATAAGCAAGAAGAAAGGGTAACGGATTCACGAACTTTTGACATACTCAACAAATTAATCACTAGCGAAGGCATGAAATTAGCAGAATGCACAAAGAAGATTGGGTAAAACAATGAAGGATTTTTACCTCCCGGAGATGGAATTCAAAATCAGATGCTACAAAATCTAGCTCGTGAATTGTTAATCATCCACTGCGAAATACAATAACTGGGTATTAGGTTCCTTTGGGGGGGAGAGCTTATGAAGAAAATACTATAACTGGGTTTGTCAATTTGGTTAAGTATAATGGGCTCACTAGGTCTGGCATATACACAATATAATCAGCCCATTTGTGTCTTGGGCATATCTGTAGTAACGGGCTAGTCACTTTTTGTATCAATTTTTAAAAAATACCCAAATTTCAATAACTTTTGAATTTGTAACTGTTTTTGAATACAAGTTCAAAATTGGCTATTTTAGAAATTTTCCTAATTATCCAAGCGAGGATTCGACTCCTTCTCATTAACATCTTTTACTTTTACTTTTATTTTTATAATGAAGATTGAAGGGGTGTGATTTTCTTTTTCTCCATCTTTTTCTTATGCTCTTTCAATTCCTTCTCTTTTCACCCCCGGTCAAATATAGCCTATCTTTTCGCTTACCTGCTACATATTTGAGTGTAGTTCTTCTTATTATGGTCTCTCTTTAAGAAACTGACGCACTTAAACAGTAGATGGCACTTGATATTTTTCTTCCTCTGGATTTAAGAGTAACCATTCATAGAACCAAAAAAGAAAAAGAAAAAAACAAAGTTCATCGAAAATTAAATAGGAAAGCAGGAACTATGTTTACTGTAAAATTGAAAAAGGAATATATAGATTGTTTTTTCCTTTTCTCTTCTTAAATTGATCTCACATTATAACGCCCCATGTTTTGATATGTAAGAGTACGTAGTAAGTCAAATGATGTAAGCTCAGAAATAAGATTATATTAGAAAGTACATAAAGTAAGTTAATCATTACCTTGGAGGTTACAAATATTTAAGATCATGAATAGCAAGTACCAAGAGAGTTGGAAGACTTAGAAGCTAAACGAATAGAAGAAAATAAATTTCGCCAAAAGTCGACAAGTTGGGAATATTATAACATGTACTTTTGGGGTGAGACTAGGGTTCTCAACATGATAAGGAGTTTATGTTATGAGCTATTTTAGTCGTATGATAACCATGTGTTACGTTTTGAAGTCAAGCGAGTTGTGGACAAAAGTTGGCAAAGGTCATCACAAGTTACATTCATAAATATGCCGAAAATTAGGTCAAATGTAGCAAAGCTTTTCTCTCAATATAAGTAGAATTAAGGGGTGATTCACCTATAAATTGAAGCTCTACGAGTCTAGCTTCCAACGCACTAAATCGTTCGTCCATACGATTTCGGAGTAGGGAGATATTCACATTTTCGTGAGACTGCACAAGCAGCTCCCTATGGGACTCACATAGGCGGTTGCGATATCTTAATATATATGTGACGCCTAAAGCCCATTTTAACTCATTATTTTTCACTCTCTTCAGACCCTAGACACCTAAAAATTTTATCTCAAAGTTCTCTCATGATCCAAGACCCAAACCAATGCAAACAACACAAATCAAGTGTCGGAAATCCCGTGGCACTAGTGAATTCTTGTTCTTCTTGTGGTTGCTAATTTTAGTGTGGTTCTAGCTCGTGTGGGGAGTTGTTTAAACTGGTTTAAGTTCTGTAAAATACTCTCCCAAGGTTTTTATATCAATCCTAGGTGATTTCAAGTCTTCCAAAGTGATTCTAGTGCTGAGAAACGCGAATTGATTACTAGTTTTGCTTCCTTGTTCTTGTGGCTATGTTGGAAGGATATTTCGTGATGAAGTAAGCTCAAATTGTAGTTGTTCTATCTGTTTAAAGGTACAGAACCTCTTACTCTATATGTATTTAAATTTACCCAAGTTACGGCTAAGTCGTTGAATCTAAAACTTGTGAAATATCGATCAAAAGGCTTGTTAGTAATGTTGTTGATTGTTGGACTGTTTGGGAGGTGTTCTTGCAGCATTTTATGGTTGGAAAATTTATGGAATAACCTGAGTATATTTTGTTGTTATTGTCAATATTTTTCTGAATATAAATAAGAGGGAAATGGTTCAAAATATACTGTTATTAGACATGAACCGAGCTTGCCGCTCGACGTGTTATTATGCTGGTTGTGTTCCATATAGCTACTGGTTGTTGTTTGGGCTGTTTAGTGACTTTTAGTAACTTATGAGATGTAGTACAAATAGGGGTGATATTGTCCGTTTTCTTGTAGAAAATTGGTTTTAACATATGAGAGTTACAACGCTTATGTGATCACGACAAAGTTGGTTTACTCATTGGAGACGTAAGAAGATCATATTGAGCTTGGTTGACGATTGGAGAGAAGATTGCAAAGGTATGTTAAGACACTTCCTTCTTTATTTTGGCATGATTTAAAGTAAAATGAACATAAACAATACACTATTTCATAACAGATCTACTCCTAGCAACTAAGACTGTGCATGCTGTTCTTTTCTTATAAAGTTATTCTTAGCAAGTATGTATGATCCTTGAATCCTATTGAGGTTCATATTGATGGTATGGATGTCCATAATATTAATCGAAGGCGCGACGACCTTACGTTACTTCGAAAGGTTTAGAACGTGATTCCATAAGTCCAGTATGCATTATATATATGTATCTATTTTACTCTTCCGAGTCTCGCTATAGTCAGCCGGGTACGACACCTATTGTGCAACCACTGATCAGTTGGGTTTTACCGAGCTCCACGTGGCCGAGTACGATTTTACCGAGCCTTATGATAGTCGGATATGTTTTTACCAAGCTTATTACCGCCGGGTACAATATGATGATGATGATGCCCATAGAGGCGTATGTTTTTAAAACTTTATGTATATATATGTATCATGCATTTTATGTCAGTAGCCCTCAGAGGCACTTAGATGCTACAGGTTGTATCTCCTCAATCTCTCTTTACATTACTTTTCTTATTTATGCTTTCCTACCTTACATACTCGGTACTTTATTCGTACTGATGTCCCTTTTTTCCTGGGGACGATGCGTTTCATGCTCGCAGGTCTCGATAGACATGTTGACAGTCTTCCTAGTAGGTTATCAGCTTAATGGAAGGTGTTGGCGCACTCCACTTGCTCCGAAGTTATCTATTTGGTCAGTATGCTTTGGACATGTATTGATTAGTGTGGTGGGACCATGTCCCGACCTTTATGTACTCTTAGAGGCTTGTAGACAGATGTCATATATATGGATACTTGTATGGCCTTGTCGGCCTATGTTTTGAGTGTACAAATGATTATGTCGGCCTTATAGGCCCGTATGTCACATGTAGAAGTTTGTATATCATGTTGGGTCGTCCTATACCGAGTATTCCCTTATGTTTTATTTTAGTTATCTCATGAAGGCCTTTCCGACTCATTTACCCATGATAGTATGATAAGAAAAATGCGTTACGTTCGTTGGTACTCGATTGAGTAAGGCACCGGATGCCCATCGCGGCCCTTCGGTTTAGATCGTGACACACATCTTCATTTCTTTTTGCAAAAACTTTTGTGTCTATTTGTGTCTCCCTCCATGCTCCTTTTGTATGAGCGTTTACTTGAACATCTTAGTTAGGAATACAATGCCAAGCCGTTGAAGACAAACTTGGATTTTTGACTATATTTAATCGTAGGTGATATATTTAATCAGAGGCAGATGCACCTTTAATCGAGGAATAATTTTACTACTTGTCTTTCCCTTCTATCCAATGATTGAACAAAAAAAGACAAATTCATTCTTTTTCTGATCAATCAAGGGGAACATTTATAATTCTTAATTCTATAAGGCTTTCAAGTATGAACCCATAATTTTACGCAATGACTCTAGTAAAAATAATTCATTAAAGATTGAATTCATTAAGTTTAAATTTTTAATTCATTTAATATTTAATATATAAAGCAAAGGGGGAAACGAAATATTCAACATGAATGTCCGCAGTTAGTTAACGTGATTCGTTGACTTAAATTGTCAATCAAAAAGATGAAGTAGTATGAAAATTAGTTAATCCCGTTTTGCCTTTTGAAAACCCTAGAAGAAAACGAAAATAAATCAAAGTATATATTCATTGTTTGTTTGAAAATTCAATCTTATACAAAATGGACGTAGATTTGCTCCATCGACTCCCCCTTCATGTGGCCACGTACAACTTTAAATGTAAGCTGCCAATGATAAGTTAGAATTCGGCTGTGGGCCAAATATAACACTCTCTTTAGTTTTGTGGAGGCAGCTGTATCTTTTCCTTTTCAAGTTTTAAATGAAAACAAAGCGAGTTATTACTCTTTCACTTTTTAAAAGTAACAACTTAAATCCCATTACTATATCAAAATTAATGAGAGAAAAAAAGGAAAAGAAGGGGAGAAAAAGAGAAAACAATTCCATTAATAGAATTAAAGTGCCACAACAACAACAATAACTCAGTGAAATCCTACTAGTGAGGTCTAAGGAGGATAGTGTGTATGCAGACCTTACCCCTACCCCGAAGAGGTAGAGAAGCTGTTTTCGAAAGACCCTCGGCTCAAGAGGACAAAAAGACAAAAGGAGACAATATCAGTATCACCACAGAAATCATAGAAAAAATAGGAACAACATGAAATCTAGAAGAAAGATGCAAAGCAAAAGTGATAGCTAGTAAATAGGTCCGGCACTGAAAAACGAAATAGTAAGACACGACATTGCCACTAGCTAGCTTGGACAAAAACCCTACCAAGACTAGTCTCACAACGGTACGAAGTAAGGCAAGACTCAACTACCTCCTAACCTACAACCCTAATACTCGACCTCCACATCTTCCTATCAAGTGCCATGTCCTCGGAAATCTGAAGCCTCGCCATGTCCTGCCTGATCACCTCTCCCCAATACTTCTTCGGCCGCCCTCTACCTCT